AAAAAAAAAAAAATGAAAGCAGTAACAAAGAAATGACTAACTACATAGAAAGCGAAAGCAAAACAATAACTGATTAATTACAGAAAAAGAGATGTTAGAAGAAAGTAAAAACTAAAATAAAACCATACAACTCAGTGCTAATAGGAAAAAAAAGCAAAAAAGTGTCAACCAAGAATGCTATTTATAACAAAACTACTTCTCAAATATGAAAAAGTAAAAACAAATTCTAAAGTAGAAGATCTACAAAAAAATACTAGAACAAATCTCTCAAGCTGAAATTAAAGGACAGTAGATACTAATCTAAACCTTCAAAGAGAAATGAAGAGCACTAGAAATGCTATCAGAAAATTTTTACAAAGTACAAATATTTAATTGTCACCCTTTAATCTCATCAAAAGACATTAAATATTACACAAAATAACAGTATATTGTTATTTGGCTTATAAATAAATACAATATATAAGACAAGAATAGCCCAAAGAGGGGGGAGAAAATGAAGCTGCCTTTGAGTAAAGGTACTATATATTTTACTGGGATTAAATTGTGATAAATTGGGCTGGGGATTTAGCTCAGTGGTTCTGCCACCCGCTTCGCAAGCGCAAGGTCCCAAGTTTGATCCCTGGTACCAAGGGTGAAAAAAAAAGTGTGATAAACTGAAATCCAAATTGTAATCCCTAGAGCAACCACTAAGAAAATAGCTTTTTAAAATGTTAAATTCAATACCGGACATTAAACAAAAGAAAGCAGTAAATGGGAAAGAGGAAGAAAAACCATGAGACATACAAACAAATGCCAACGTGGGACCAGCAACTCCAACCACATCAAATCACACAAAATGTGAATGAAATAACTATAATCAAAATGCAAAAATCGCCAAGGTAGATTCCCCCCCCCCCGCAAAAAAACTCTTGTAACTATATTCTATTTATAGAAGATACATATTATCTTTTAGACTGAAGGGCACAGGTAGCTTGGAAGTAAAAAGATATAACATGCAAACAAACAATAATCCAAAGAGTACAATGTTATTATGTGGGGCAAGAGGAAGGTTGAGGGAGAGAGAGACAGTGAGAGAGCAATGAATTACTTCATAATCTGATCTATCCTTAGCAATTTAATCTTATTTTCTAATAAACAATTATTTTAATAAACAATGTGAACTCTACATTATACCTAGGTCTGACTTCTTCCTCATAAGTGAGAGTATTGTTTCTTCTGAATTCTAAACCACTGGTCAGTAACTATGACTGGAGTGTCTTACCCTTCCCTCCACCTACAGACATTCTACCCATCCTTAAATTGCTACTTAATTCCCACTTCCTTAACCAGGCCATCATCAGCTGCTCCAACACAGTAATCTTTTCTGAGGCACTTAGAAATATTTTTGAATTTATTACATACTCTAAGAATGCTTTTCAAGAAAGGCTTTTGGAAATCAAACATTACATTATAGGCACACACAGATACATAGTCACACATCTTGTCCAATCAACTTATTACAAGTTTAAGAGCAAACTGAATTTTAAAATATTACAGAGCTCTCAGAGCAAGTCGTTTCGTCTTTGGCAACATACTTTCTCTGTTTCTGTAGTAGCTTCTACCTTCAAGTATCTTCCATATCTTAAGACAGTATTTTCTAAGTTACAGGTCCCAGGCTATCATCAGCACTGAGAAGGAGAGGAGGGAAGGAAAATGCAACAGAACAGAACTTCATATACAGAGTTAAGACTTTTTAAAAAAACTTGACACAGAGGTCCAGGGATTTAGCTCAGTGGTTCTGCTGCCTGCCTCACAAGTGGAAGGTCCTGAGTTCAATCCCGGTACAAACAAAAAACAAAAAACAAACAAAAAA